CTGAGGGGAACTTCGATGGTCATCTCACAAGTTTCTCAGACTTTCTTATCTCTTTTCCCACGGCTCACAACCCCTTCTCTCTAGCCATCTCGGTTTCATCAAAATCAGCTATAGCTTGTCCCACCTGGTACACTGTCTGGCCCACTAAGGGACTTAGTCTGGCCCACTAAGGGACTAACAATAGCCACCAGTGTGCCATACCAGGAGAGGGGAGCTGCTTTCAGGATCCTTGGTTTCATTCCTGCAGTAAAAAGTTCATTGTCTGGCCCCCAGAAGTGCTCAGCATAAATGGTGTGCATACTTAACTCCTGAATTAACTGCTGTAACTCCTCTATGGAAGACCACTTCCTGACAGTGCTGGGAGGCTTCCCCTGCTTCGGTCACTCCCTTCTGCAACACCAGATGATCCCATCTGTGAGGGTGTGTATGACCTCTGAGTTCCGAGCTGCATGTAAACGCTGCCGGAGGGTGGGGTGGGGGGTTGTGCTGCTCATTTTCTCCACCCCAGCTCCATTTAAAGAGACACCGTCTCCCCCAATATCCCACAGATGTAGTAACCCAACTGTAAGTTACCTTCCCTTTCTGCTGGAATTTCCCACACAACTCAATCAGCTCAGTGGGGGTGCATTCTTAAACATTGTTATGGAACAGGCTGGTGGGATTTCTTGTCTGGGGTCATCAGGTTCATTTTATGAGTGGCCGTGCTGGGGTAGGGGGGCGCTCTGCCCTGTCAGACTCCTCCTCCACTATCACTTCCACATCCAATTCACTTCTTGATCCACTCTCCCACTCTTTTGCATCTCAGTCACCTCTCATCAGCACTGCCCTAATTCTTGCTTTTGACACTTTCCTTCCCCCATCTTTACAAACCTGCAGGTGAGCATCTCTAATTGCTTATCCTGCTCTTGAAAGCAGCTACGTAATATGTCAATTGTTGTCACACAGGACTGGGGCACATCTCTAACTGCAATTCTTCCTGCAGGGCTTACATGCACTTCAGCAGCTAGCTGGGGGTCGGTGACCAGCTGAACTACCAAGAGCAATGGCTATCCCATGGCTGCTACAGCTCTCCTAGCTTCCTTTCCACGCCTATGAAGGTGCATGTCTTCCCACTGCCATACTATGCTGCTTGGTGTTTTGGGGCATCCTCATACTCACACAGCAGACTGCATTCATCAACCATACAAGCTAGACCTCCCCACATGAAGGCTGCTGGCAACCCAGGATTTCCCTTGCGGATGCCTCACTCACCATTTCTTTGGTCTCCGGGCTGGCTTGCCAATTGCCCAAACATGGACCAGTAACTTGAAATTTGCCTCCAAAATTGGATGGTGCTGAGAGACCGCAGAAAAAGGCAGGCAACTCGAATGTGGTGGCAAAGGAGTTTTATTAGGGAGACTTACATACGAAACTGGTCCCTGGTGGCAGCAGGACCAAAGTAGATCTCCACACCCAGCAGTGTGGGGCGGGAGGAGGCATAGGTTTTATGGTGGTCAAGGACAAAAGTGGCTACACACCAGGGAGTTACATAAAACTGGCTCAGCAAGGTCATATAACAGGGGTTTGGAAAACAGCAGTGAGCTAACACAAACAGCCGTGAACTAACAGAAAGCATGAGACAGCCATGTTTGGCGTCACAAAGCCTGTTTTCCCCTTCACTTGGCAACAGCGCCCTTAACAAACTGTCCTTATCTACAATGCTTTAGACTCAATTCTCTTACCAACAATGACTTTAGCAACAATGGCTTAATAACAGGTGCCATAAGCAACAGGGCACTCAAAAACATTCTAATTTTTGTTCAAGTACCATGCATTTGTGGATTTTCCAATTTTTCTTATTCCATTGTGGTTAGAGATACTTCGTATAAATTGAATTTTTAAAAATTCAGACTTGTTTTTTGACCTAAGATATAGTTTATACTGGGAACTAGCCTAGAGAAGAACGTATATTCCGCTGTTGCTGGGTGCACTTTTCTGTACATCTGAGGCCTAGTTGGTTTATAGTGTACAGGTCCTCTATTTCCTTATTGATGTTCTGTTCACTATTAAAAGTAGTGTACTGAAATTTCCAACTATTATTATTGAACTATTCCTCCCTTCAATTCTTTCAATGTGTCAGTCATATATTTTGGGGCTCTACTGTTACATACATGTTTATAACTGTTGTATTTTCTTGAGGAACTGACTTATTACTACACAATATCTTTCCTTACCTCTTGTAATAGTAATAGCTTGACTTGAAGTCTTACTGTCTCATATTAATATAGCCACAGCTGAATTTTGCTTACTATTTGCATGTTATATTTTTTCCATCCTTTCACATTCAGTCTGTGTCTTTAGATCTAAAGAGAGTCTCTGGTACACAGCATATAGCCAATATCTGACTTTTATACTGGCCACTTATACAGGCATGGAAACAGTACAAGAAAAGCTATATGGTTATTTTAAAGAAAATCCTTTAATGTATCAATAGTATAAATGATATGTTGTTATTAGGTGGCATTGAGTCAGTTCTGACTCATAGCAACCCTATGTTCAATAGAACTAAACACTCCCTGGTCTTGTGCCATCCTCACAATCATTGCTGTTTGAGCCCATTGTTGCAGCCCCTGTGTCAATCCACCTCATCGAGGGTCTTTCGCTTTTTCACTGACCCTCTACCTTACCAAGCATGACGTTCTTCTCCAGGGACTGGCACTTCCTGATAACATGTACAAAGTATGTGAGAGGAAGGAAGTCTTGCCATCCTTGCTTCAAAGGACCATTCTGGCTGTACTTCTTCAAAGATTTGTTTGTTCTTCTGGCAGTCTATGGTATATTCAATATTCTTTGACAACACCATAATTCAAAGGCATCAATTCTTCAGTCTTTCTTATTCATTTTCCAGCTTTCACGTGCATACGAGGTGACTATCATGGCTTGGGTCAGGCGCACCTTAGTCCTCAAAGTAACATTTTTACTTTTGAACACTTCAAAGAAGTCTTGCAGATTTGCCCAATGCAATATGTTGTTTGATTTCTTGACTGCTGCTTCCATGGGCATTGATGGTGGATCCAAGTAAAATGAAATCCTTGACAACTTCAATATTTTCTCCATTTATCATGATTAATGATATAAAGAAATAATAGTGTGGAATATCAAAGCTTATTAAACTAAAGGTAAATATTTCCTATGATGTCATGTTCCTATAAACGTTACATAGCCTCCTCATGTACAAAAGCACCACACTGCTCAGACTGTTCACAAACATGTTTAATAGTTACCCATAATATCTAACAGCACATTTCATAGGTAAATATTGCTATATCTTCTGTATAAAACCTTTGGTACTACATATCAAACATAAATCGTAGTACATCAGTTCTAGGTGAAGATTTTATCCAGTATTCTAAAAGAGAATTTTGTCCCAGAAAAAATATATGCTGAAAAATAAATGTTCAGTATTTGTCAAAAACATTCATACATTCAAACTGTTTATGGCTTCAGGATAATCTTAGTTATTTGATGTTCAATAGGATTAATTCTTGGTAAAGGTTTTCTTGTTTATAGCAATCCTTGGTTTTTCCTTAGGCTTCTCTGAGTTTTACTGAACTTGACTTGCAGTTGAAAGTGTCTGATCATTCAGGTTGTTGACAAGCATTCTCTTCTGTAATGGATTGAACTGTGTACCCCTAATATATGTGTTGAAATCCTAACCCCTGTACCTGTAACTATGACCCTCTTTTGAAAGTTTTCCTTTCTTATGTTAAATGTCATGCCAAAGTAGGGTGGGTCCGAAACCTAGTTATGTTATCTAAAAATATTTGCTGACACACACAGAAGACAAATGCCAAGGAATGCCAAGAGGTATTGACAACATCTTCTACTAGTGCTACACCCTGAATTCAGATTAGCCTCCAGGACTGTGAGAATTAATAATTTCTGTTCTTTAAGCCACCCTCCTGTGGTATTTCTGTTACAGCAACAGTGGGTAACTAAGACACCATTCTTGTGGGAGTTTTCTGATGTACGATTGGCCAAATTCCCAGAGTTCCAGTCACAATCAATATAGTCACAGGGTTTAATCCTTCCCAAAATAGAGACACATCTAAACAATGTGCAGTTGAGTCAAATCTGCAAGACCTATATAGAACACAAACTTGTATTTTACTTTAAAAAAAAAAAAAAAAAAAGTCAATGGTGAAGACCTAACAGGGGAAAATTCTGCTCAATCCACTTAATCAGGGATACCAGCTTCTTTCACCCTGTGCTCTGCCATGTTGAATGTATGACAACCAAGTTTGTCATGAAAGTTATCTCTCTTCCATTTTAACAGTGTCAGGAAGATTGTGACATAAGTCTTTATTAGTCCAGACTTAAATGTGGTATGTACGATTAAAACACGCACAAGACAACAACAGTCACCTGGGCATAGTTAGATGAATTGAGAATTTTAAAATAACCATGTGCCCAGGGTAAAAGGATATGGTTAAAGTCAAATTGTTGGACTATATGATGTTTCTCCCTTATGTGAGTTATCTGTTGTTAGGTGCTGCTGAGGTGGTTCCAACTCATACTGACCCTATGTACACCAGAACGAAACACTGCCCAGTCCTGGTCCATACTCACAATCATTGCTATGTTTGAGTCCACTGTTGCAGCCACCGTGTCAACCCATATCATGTAAGGTCTTCCTTTTTCACTCACCCTCTACTTTACCAAGCATGATGTCCTTCTCCAGGGACTGGTACTTCCTGATAACATGTCCAAAGTATGTGAGACAAAGTCTCCCCGTTCTCACTTTAAGGACCATTCTGGCTGTACTTCTTCCAAGACAGATTTATTTGTTCTTCTGGCAGTCCATAGTATATTCAATATTCTTTGCCAACCGTAATTCAAAGCCATCAATTCTTTTTCGGTTTTCCTTATTCATTGTCCAGCTTTTGCATGCATATGAGGTGACTGAAAATACCATGGCTTGGATCAGGCACACCTTAGTCAACAAAGTGGTATCTTTGCTTTTAAAAACACTTGAAAAAGGTCTTCTGCAGCAGATTTGCCCAGTGCAATATGTCATTTGATTTCCTGACTGCTGCTTCCATGGGCGTTGATAGTTATCTAATAACGTGACTTATATGCAGAAGGTTTCTCTCTTGTGTGAATTTCGATGAATTCTAAGGGATGCCTTCCACACACAAGTTTTCCCACATTTATTGCATTCATAACGTTTATCCCATGTGAATCTGCCAATGATTTCTGAGGGTAGAATTATCAGAAGTTTTCCCACATCCATTACATTCGTAGGGTTTTTCCCATGTGTGAATTCTCTGATGTATTCTGAGTCCTGGCTTCTGACAGAAGGTTTTCCCACATTCATTACATTCATAGGATTTCTCTCCTGTGTGAATTCTCTGGTGTACTCTGAGATTTGAATTTTGGGCAAAAGCTTTCCCACATACATTACATTCATAAGGCTTCTCTCCTGTGTGAATTCTCTGATGTGAAATGAGGTACGACTTTACAGAGAAAGCTCTCCCACATTCATTACATTCATAGGGTTTCTCTCCTGTGTGAATTCTCTGGTGTGCTATAAGACTGTCATTTCGGGCAAAAGCTTTCCCACATTCATTACATTCATAGGGTTTCTCACCTGTGTGAATTCTCTGATGTGTGCTGAGGTTTGCCCTATGGGAGAAAGATTTCCCACATTCATTACATTCATAGGGTTTCTCCCCTGTGTGAATTCTATGATGGTTACTGAGGTATGTCTCACTGGAGAAAGACCTCCCACATTCATTACATTTATAGGGTTTCTCCCCTGTGTGAATTCTCTGATGTGCAGTGAAGTGGTCCTTGCGGGAGAAAGATTTCCCACATTCTTTACATTCATAGGGTTTTTCCCCTGTATGAAGTCGCATGTGTGTAATGAGATTCCCCTTCATATAGAAAGTTTTCCCACACTCATTACATTCATAAGGTCTCTCCCCTTTGTGAATTCTCTGATGTACTCTGAGGCTTGAATTATCAGCAAATGTTTTCCCACATCCCTTACATTCATAGGGCTTTTCCCCTGTATGGACTCTCTGATGTATAATGAGGTGCGTCTTTTGGGAGAAAGTTTTCCCACATTCCTTACATTCATAGGGTTTTTCCCCTGTGTGAATTCTCTGATGTGTACTGAGGTGTTTCTTCTGGGAGAAAGATCTCCCACATTCATTACATTTGTAGGGTTTCTCCCCTGTGTGAGTTCTCTGATGTGCACTGAGGTGTATCTTCTGGGAGAAAGACCTCCCACACTCATTACATTTGTAGGGTTTCTCCCTTGTGTGAATTCTCTGATGTGTAATGAGGTGTGCCTTCTGGGAGAAGGTCTTCCCACATTCATTACATTCATATGGTTTCTCCTCTGTGTGAATTTTCTGATGTGCTCTGAAGGCTGAATTCTGGAAGAGCATTTTTTCACATTCATTACATTTACAGAATCTCTTCTTTGTGTCTCTTTTCTGGTGCTCTTTGTGAGCTAAATTCTTGTAAGATTTCCTACCTTTACTATGTTCATAATGTTTCTCTCTTGTGTGGATTCCTAGATACTCACTGAGGTTTGACTTCTGGCAGAAAGCTTTCCCACATTCATTACATTCATAGAATTTGACCCCCATATGAGTTCCACTGTGTTGAATTAAGTGTGACTTCCAACAAAAGAATTCCCGACATTCCTTACATTCATAGGGCTTCTTCTGTATGTGGGTCCTGTGATGCTTTATGAGGTTTGCTTTCTGATAAAGGGATTTCTTTCGTTCATCACATTCAAAGGACCTCTCTCCTGTGTCACTTTGCTGATGTATACTGAGGACTGAATTTTGGCAGAAAAATTTATCAAATTCACCACATTTGTAGAGTTTCTCTTCTAGGTGAGTTTCCTGATGTACTGTTTAAAAAAAAAAAAAAAAACTTTAAAATAAAGGCCTTCTTGCATCCTTCTACATTAACTCAAAAATCTAAAATTAGTACCTGCCTGTATCATTTATTTACAATTTTTAAAATAAAAAACCAACTGCCATCAAATTGACTCATGTAAGTCACAGTAGAACTGTCCTCCACAGGATTTTCAATGGTAGATTTCTTAGCAGTAGTTCACCAGGTCGTTATTCCTAGGTGACTCTAGGTAGACTTGAACAACTATTCGGTTAACAGCTGAGCAGGTTAGCCATTTTCACCACCCATGGACCCCCTTTTAAAGGCAACGTAATCATGATAATACAGAAAACTGCACACGTAAGTATAAAACTTGATTTTCAAAACCTGAACAAACCGATGAAACCAGAACCCAGTTGATGGCACATTTATGAGCATCCTAGAAGCTCCTCGAGTACCCTTGCAATCATTACCCTCGAGAAAGGATAAACACTATCATGACTTCTAATGGCATAAATTGTTTTGTCTTTGTATTTTTGATGGATGGGCGGACAGAGGGAAGGAGGGATAGACAGATGTTTTTATATCTAGCTTTCTAAGAGTTTTATGAGTCTCAGTTGTATTTTTTATGTAACAGAACACTTCATTCTTATTGCTATATATTTCTTTGGATGAATGTGCCAATAATTTATTTACCTGTTCAGTTGTTCAACAGTTTGTAGCTTCCTGCTTCTGGCTAAATCAGATAAAACTATGAACATTCTAATACATGTCTAGGTAAATATGTTGTGTGCATTTACACTGTACTCCTACAAAAATAGATTTGCTGAGTAATAAGGTATGAACAGGCTAAGCTTTTATACATATTGCCAAACAATGGGTGGACTAATTTATATTCCAAACAGCAATGCCTGAGAATTCCAGTTACTCCTCAACCTTGTCAACAGTTGGGATTATCTTTTTCATTTGACCACTTTTGTGGGTTTTCATAGCTATTGCATTCTGGTTTTAATCTGTGCTTCCCTGATGATTAATGGAGTTGAGCACCGGGCATGTTTACTGTTTCTGCATCAACACAAATGATCATATGACATTTTTTCCTTTTAATATGATAAAACACATTCAATATATATTTAATGTCAAACAATCTTTGCACACTAGGAATAAATTCAACTTTTTTTCATACTATTACCTTCTTATTAAGCGCTTTGGTATGCGAATATTCTGTTTTAGAATTTTGTATCTATTATCGTGAGAGATAGGCTAGAGATTTCCTTTCTCATGATGTCCTTATCAGGTTTTGAAATCAAGATTATCTTGGCCTATATAAAGAGTTAGGAGTGTTTCCTTTCCATTCTTACAATCTTTGTCTTTAACTTTTACATTTAATGCAATTATTAATATATTTAAAATTATATATGCCATCCTAGTATTCATTTCAAGCTTTCCTTTCCTCCTTTCTGGCCTGCATTAATCAAAACTGTTTACTACTTGAAGGAGCCCTGGTGGCGCAGTGGTTAAAGCACTTGGCTGCTAACTGAGAAGTCAGCAGTTTGAACTCCGCAGCTTCCCTGCTGGAGAAAGATGTGGCAGTCCGCTTCCATAAAGATTATAGCCTTGGAAACCCTGAGGCACGTCTCTGTCCTACATGGTTGCCGCGAGTCAGAAGTGACTCCACAATAGTTGGTTGGGATGGTTTACTATTTGAAATTTTCTACCTGGTAAATTTTGATTATGTATATTATTAACAATGCATCATTTAGTTAAAATATGAACTATTACTTTTAACAGTTCCTCAATACCAAAGAATGGCAGAAACTTTAACTCTATTTACCCCTCAACTCCCTTTTGTCCTATCGCTGTCATGAATTTTGCTCCTACATATATTTTAAAGCTCTTAGGATATTAAAATTATTGTTCTATAGGATCAATCTGGTTTATTTTGACCTTCAATTCTATTTTTCCTGTTATTCATATCTCCAATATTCTCTATTCCTTTATTTAATTCCATGGTTCTATCTAGGATATTTTCTTTATGTATGAAGAACTCTCTTTTAATATTTCTTTTAACTCTCTTTTAATATTTCTTTTAATTTTCCTTTTAAGGATATTTCTTTTAATAAATTTCTAAATTTTTGTCAGTCTGAAATAGTTTTTATTTCAATTACAGTTTTGAAGGGTATTTTTGTTGAATATAAACTTATTGGTAGTCATTTACTTTCAGCACTTTAAATATGTCATTCTCACTTTCAGTCTTTATGTTGAGAAGGGACTTGTCAGTTTTACTTTTTGTTGTTTTCCAATGAGCCTTTTCTCACTTGCTATTTTCAATATTTTCCCTTTGTCTCTGGTCTCAGAAGTTTTACTCTAATATGTCTCTGTGTGATTTTCTTTGTGCTTGTCCTGTTTGAGTTTTGCAGAACTTTTAGAATATCCCGCTTGATATCCTTCCTCGCTTAAAACCTTTGGAGATTATCTCTTTTAATACTGCTTTTGCATTTTTTCTCCTTCCTCTCCTTGTTGGAAGATAAGAATATATGATAGAGGCAGGGCCAAGATAGCGGAGTAGTGAGACGGCTTCCTATATCCCTATTACTACAACAAAGACCTGGAAAAACAAGTGATTTGATTGTATATGAATATCTAGGAGCCCTGAACAAGGCAAAGTTGAGGAATTGGACTGAGTGGCGGGGGGAGAGGGAGATGGTTCGGAAGAGGCGAGCAGCGCCAGACTGGACTTGGCCGGAGCCACAGCTCTTCAGCCTGGACCGGCTTGGGGTGCGGAGGGCAGCGGGCATACAGCTCCACACACTCGCTCGGGAGGCAGTTTCCACATCGAGAGATCCGGCAGCAGAGATTCTGCTTGGACACTCCGAACCAGTGAACAGCAGCACTCAAGGAGCTAAAGATAAGTACATGTGTGTGGCCTTTCACGGGGATTTAAAAAAAAAAAAAAAAACCATTTCGGAAATACCTCTCCCATTTACCTCTTCCCTCCCGCACTGCACCAGGTCCGGGGGGCTCCAGTGGACTCCTGAGTTCAATGGGCCGGAAGTAGATACCATAAGGCGCCCTGACCCATTCTCCTGGCCTTGGAGAGGGAAGAAATTAACAAACAGGGAAAAAGTAAGCTACTGACTCCCGTAAGCCAGGAAGTCAGTGTTGGCACAGCTCCTTTGCCTAGGCACAGGCATATGGGGCCCACAGACTTTGAGTGCCTTCCACCCCTGTACAAACTTGTGTGGACCCATCTCAGCAGCGTAACTCCTCACTACCACAGCAACAGGGTAAACACCTGAAGTCTAAATTTAACTGTTTCAGCTGTGAAGAGGCAGATTTGTGATGCTTGACTCTGCTCTGCCCTTTAAGCAGGTGCTTTATCGGTCCACACCAGGGGCTTGAGGACTGGGGGCTCCACCCACGCCACCTAGCCACCTGCTAGAGGGGTCCAAGAATAAGTGGTGGCCTCAAGTCTTTACAGCCAACACAGTAGGATGCTCATAGTCTGGCTGCAAAACTCACCTACCTACTCGCTCTAGTAAACAGGGACACACTTTAAAACTCAGGAGCAGCCGTCAGCTGCGTGTCTTGCTCGCTGTGCGACCCCCTACTCAAACCAGATACCTGTGTCTACACCAATCACCCATGCCTCTCTAAGACTGTAGGTGAGAGCCTGCACCACACACTGGGTGACCGACTGACTGGACACCTGAGCTGAATCCATACAGGAAAAATTAACAGACTCCTGGGTGCACATAGTTACAAAACTAAGTACCTGGTGACAGGACGTTAGAGCTTCAAAGATGCCAATAAACTAGCGCAAAGGAGCAGCCTATTTGGGCGTATCAACACAAAACAAAACAAGAAGCTAGGACACACTAAACAAATATAAAATAAAATTTAATAACTTATTCCTGGCTCGGAGACAACAGTCAACATCAAATCACATAAACAGGCAGTACATGATGGCTTCAGAAAGCTCCCAAAATAAAGAATCAATAAATTTTCTGGAAGAAGAGAATTTCTTGGAATTACCAGAGGCAGAATACAAAGGATTAACATACAGAACTCTTCAAGAAATTAGAAAGGATATTCTACAATATGTAGAGACAGCCAAAGAACATACAGACAAAATAGTAGCGGAATATAAAAAAGTTATTCAAGAGCATAATGACAAATTTAATAGGCTGCAAGAATCCATAGACAGCAATCAGAAATGCAGAATAACAATAAAATTTCAGAATTAGACAAATCAATAAAGTCATACAAGCACAACTGAGATGATAGAAGTCAAAATTAGTGACACTGAAGATAAAGCACTTGACACCAACTTATTTGAGGAAAAATCAGATAAAAGAATTAAAAAGAATGAAGAAACTCTTAAGAGTTATGTGGGACTCTATCAAGAGAAATGACATACGAAAGACTGGAGGACCAGAACGGGGGGGATAACAGAAAACACAGAGAGAATTGCTGAAGATTTGTTGACAGAAAACTTCCCTGATATCAGGAAAGATGAGAAGATATCAAAGATGCTCATTGAAACCTACATAAGGCAGATCCCAAAAGAAAGCCACCAAGACATATTTTAATAAAACTTGCCAAAACCAAAGATAAAGAGAATTTTAAGAGCGGCTAGGGGTAAAAGAAAAGTCATCTACAAAGGAGAGTCAATTATAATAAGCTCAGACTACTCAGCAGAAACCATGCAGGCAAGAAGGCAATGGGATGACATATATAAAGCTTGAAGGAAAACAACTGCCAGCCAAGAATTATATATCCAGCAAAACTGTCTTTCAAATATGATGGTGAAATTAGGGCATTTCCAGATAAACAGAAGTTTAGAGAATTTGCAAAAACCAAACCAAAATTACAAGAAATACTAAAGGGAGTCCTCCGGTTAGAAAATCAGTAACATCAGATAACAACCCAAGACTAGAACACAGGACAGAGCAACCAGATATCGACTCAGGGAAATCACAAAAATAAATCAAAGCTAAAATACTGAAAATA